TCTGCAAGTGCCCGGGGCACACTCCCCTTCGGGCACCCAATCCACTGGCAATGGAGGACTGCCCCTCACGCTCCAGCCCCCTGTGGGGACCCAGGCAGGCCTGCTCCCTCTGGGCCTGGGCTCCATGCTGCGCAGCACTGGCCTCTGCCCACCTGTCTCCGTCCCCGCCCCCCCCCCCCGCCCGCCCGCCCCCGGTGGTGGGAATGGCAAGGGGCTCGAGTGAGTGCCCGCGGCCGCGTGCTCAGAGGCTCCCAGCCACGCTGCCCCCGGGTGAGGAGGACGAGGGTGGTGGCACAGGAGAAGGCGGGCATTGCTCTCGGACAGCACAGCAAGACCCGGGCTGTGAGCTGCTCGGCCTGTGACCCTGGCATCCTGTCCATCCAAGGCCTCGGCCTTCAGCTCTATGACTCGGATTCCCCTTTTCAGTCCCCAGATCCTTGAAGCCCAGGGGGCTGTCCTCACCCCACTATCACCCAGACGCCTGAGCGAGGCCATGCTCCCCACGCTGCCCATGCAGCGCCTGGGGGCCTCTTATCATCAGGACAACATTCAACCCACGTGGGGCAGCTTTTGTTCCAAAGGAATTAGCACAACTCCCCGACTCCTGTTGCAATGACCTGTCTCTGTGGACAGTCACCCAACCACAGAAATGCCCTGCTCAGGCAGCAGCCGACACCCTCATCCCCAGCCATTGAGCCCGCTGCCAGGCGCCCTCCCGCACCCGCAGGCAGACTCTCCCGACTGAACCCAGATGCGCAATTGACAGGCCTGCCCCCTGCAGACCTGAAGGCAGGCGACGGCGGAGGATTCCGCAGGCGAAGGAAGATGGAGCCCACTTCCTGGGCCGCTAGGGCTGCAGGCCAGCCACCCCCGCGCGGCCAGCAGGCTAAGGCAGAACAAGTTTAAGGCAGCTTCTCCACAAGGTGGCCACACGCATATTTCACTAAAGTATTTAAAAGTCTTTTGAAATTCAAAATGGCAGCTTGGGGCCCATGCCACCGATACACCATTTTTGGAAAGATGGAGGAACAGCCTCTGTGTGAGGGTCTCGGAGCAGCGAACACCCAGCCAGAGCCCCAGTAGGGCTTGGGGGCCGGGGCGGCGGCGCCTCCGGGAGGGGCGCGAGGTGCAGACAGCGCCATTATGAGGCCGCAGCTGGCCGGCGGGAAAAAGGCCGCGGCTGTGCCCAAAGGGAGCGATTATCGGAGGACACAGGGCCCCACATCGGTGGCCTGAAAAGATCCGTCATCCAGCAGACAGACACCCCAGCCTCTCCCTCCCCACTCCCTTGCCCCTCACTGTGTCCTGTGCAGGCTTGGGAGCCTGAGCCAGTTGCCATGGCAGCCAGAGGTGGGAGATTGTCCCCTTCTGAAATGGCTAGTGTGTCTGTCCGTCCCAGCAGCCCGCCCGCCCGCCCGCAGCACTCCCAGGACGGCACACTCGGCCTCTGTGTGCGGGACACTCAGCCGGCGCGGGCCGCCGCACAAGGGGCCCTTGATGAGCGCCTGAGAGCCGGGGCCGCCCCTCCTCTCCTTAAATAGCCGCTCCGCCGGGCGGCCGCTGCAGGAGCTCAGCTCAGCCTTCCGGCTGCACCCGCGAGGTAAGGGCCGAGGGCGGAGGGCGGAGGGCGGAGGGCGGAGGGCGGCGTGGGCCTGCCCCTGAGCTGCTCGGCAGGCACCTCCCTATGAAGACACCCTCTCACCAGAGCGGCCGCAGAGTCTCTGCCCACAGGAGCTGCTCCCCGGAGCTGCCGGCCGCCCGCCCTCCCTGCCCGGCGGAGCCGGCCCACCTGCCCAGCGCACCCCAGGCCCTGTGAGCAGGGCGGGGAGAGCGGGACGCAGACCATCCTGGGAAATCCTGCCGAGCCGGCGGCGGGACAGGGGCCAGCTGACAGCACTTGGAGCTGAGTCTCGGCCTGGAGCGGCGGCCCTGGCAGGGGGGCGGCTCCGTGAGAAGCGGGCCAGGCCCAGGCTCGGGAGCTCTGCGGTCACCACCTCACGCTCCTCCTTTCTGACAAGGGCCCTGCACTTCGCGTGGTATGGACCCCCCAAGCTTTGTCACTGGCCCTGGGGCCGGGCGGACAGCCAGCCGGCCCAGCTCTGGCCTCGGGCTGTGGGCGTCCCGGAGCACGGGCCCGGGTCTGGGTGTCCCTGCGAGCTGGCCTCCAACTCCCAGGCTACCGCCCAGCCAAGGGACCCTGGCAGGTTCGCAGGCTCAGATTCCTACTCTGCAAGATGGGTCCCTGAGGCCTGCCTCTGCACGCCTGGCAGCCGCCAGTCAGCGGCACAGTCTGCAGGGAAGGCTGCGGGCGGGCCTGGAGGGAGGCGCCCAGCTGGCCCTCAGCAGCCCTCCCTCCTCCCTGGGCCCCACAGGCCCAGCCTCTTCCCAAGCCCCCCTCCCCCCCCATACGCACAGGTCACACACACTTGGAAACAACAGGAAAAAGCCTCCAAATGCTAATGTCAGGCGTCCTGCAATTCTCTGGAGCCAGAGGGGACCATTTGGGTGGGGAAAAACCATGGGTCCCTTCAAAAATTAAAAAAAAAATCCTATATAATAAAGAGGTAATATGCAAATTAGCCATCACCCCCCGCAAAAGAAAAAGATGGCTGCCTATGACCAGAACTGCAGGGGCGTTAGTAAGGGATAACCAAACAACTGAACAAGCAGGCTGCTAGGGTGACCAGGCTGTCGGGAGGGGGGCCAGGAAGAGACGACCAGGCTGGCCAGTGGGGCAGTGAGGGGCAGAGAGGCCAGCAGAGGGGTGGGGCAGTTAAGGGCAACCAGGCAGACAGGCAGGTGAGTGACTAGAAGCCAGTGGTCCAGGAGAGTAAGCGAGATGTCTGACGGCCAGTTTAGGCCCCATCCAGGATCAGGCCTGATATGGAAGCTGAACACCCTCCAAAGGGTCCGGATTGGAGAGGGTGCAGGCTGGGCTAAGGGGACCCCATCGTGCACGAATTTCTGTGCCCTGGGCCTGCAGTGTGAGGTAATTAGATGTCCATCCCTCCATCCCTTAAAGCAGCAGCAGCCACTGCTCCCTGCTGCTCCTCCCATCCCCTGGGCCCCCCCCTCCCTCCCATCCCCTCCCCCCCCCCACTCCCTCCCATCCCCTGGGCCCTCCACGCTCCCTCCCATCCCCTAACACCCCCTGCTCTCTCCCATCCCCTAACCCCCCCCTGCTCCCTCCCATCCCCTGGGCACCCCCCCCCGCACCCTCCCATCCCCTGGGGCCCCCCTCTGCACCCTCCCATCCCCTGGCCCCCCCCCCCGCTCCCTCCCATCCCCTGCCCCCCCTGCTCCCTCCCATCCCCTGGGCCCCCCCGCTCCCTCCCATCCCCTGGGCCCCCCCCCCTGCACCATTCCATCCCCTGGGACCCCCCTGCACCCTCCCATCCCCTGGGCCCTCCCCCGCTCCCTCCCATCCCCTGGGCCCCCCCGCTCCCTCCATCCCCTGCCCCCCCCCCGCTCTCTCCCATCCCCTAACCCCCCCCCCGCTCCCTCCCATCCCCTGGGCCCCCCCCCCGCTCTCTCCCATCCCCTAACCCCCCCCCCCGCTCCCTCCCATCCCCTGCCCCCCCCCGCTCTCTCCCATCCCCTAACCCCCCCCCGCTCCCTCCCATCCCCTGCCCCCCCCCGCTCTCTCCCATCCCCTAACCCCCCCCCGCTCTCTCCCATCCCCTAACCCCCCCCCGCTCCCTCCCATCCCCTGCCCCCCCCCCGCTCTCTCCCATCCCCTAACCCCCCCCCGCTCCCTCCCATCCCCTGGGCCCCCCCCCCGCTCTCTCCCATCCCCTAACCCCCCCCCGCTCCCTCCCATCCCCTGCCCCCCCCCGCTCCCTCCCATCCCCTGCCCCCCCCCTGCTCCCTCCCATCCCCTGCCCCCCCCCCGCTCTCTCCCATCCCCTGCCCCCCCCCCGCTCCCTCCCATCCCCTGGGCCCTCTCCCCCACCCCCGTCCCTCAGTGGCCGGGGGCCTCTCTCCCTCAGTGGCCGGGGGCCTCTCTCCCTCAGTGGCCGGGGGCCTCTCTCCCTCAGTGGCCGGGGCCTCTCTCGGGCCCTCTCCCCCACCCCCGTCCCTCAGTGGCCGGGGGCCTCTCTCCCTCAGTGGCCGGGGGCCTCTCTCCCTCAGTGGCCGGGGGCCTCTCTCCCTCAGTGGCCGGGGGCCTCTCTCCCTCAGTGGCCGGGGGCACACTGGCAGGGCCCAGCCTGTCCGGCAGGCAGGAGCTCAGGGTGCTGAGGGCCCATGAGGAAAGCCCGCTGAGCCAGCACCCAGAACCTGGCTGTTCCTACATCAGGTGCTTCTCCTGGCACAGCCCCTCCTGCCCAGCCCCTCTCCACCCCGGGAGCCTCCGGAGAGCTGTGGGCACCCAGCTCCCCCTCCAGGTCTGGAGGGTCCGGTGTTTGGGGGGACGTACCCTCCTTTTGGGTCTCCAGAGCAGCCCGGTATCAAAACAAGCGCGTGTCACCTGTCCGCGGGGGAACCCGGCTCCCCAGGCGGGGCCCTGGCCTCCGTGCGGTGCGGCAGGTGGGTGCTCCCGCCCAGCCTCTCGGGTCCTCGGAGCACACCGTGGCAGTGGCCCTCCTCTGGCAGTGCCAGGGCTGTGGCAGGGGCCACACTCACCCGCCCTGGGGAGTGCCGGCCTCAGGCCCACGGAGCCGAGAGGGCTAGCAGGGCACGCGAGGCTGTGGGGACCAGGCAACCTAGTCCCTGCCCCCAGGAAGGGCTCAGGCCCACGTACCGCCCTGCCTCAGACAGCACCCTGAGGGCCCTCCCCGCCCCCCCCAGGGCTCAGGCACACGGCTGACTGCGGGTCTGAGACCATGGAGTCCACCCGCCCCCACACCCGGCGCAGAGCCTTCGCACGGCGGGAAGCGCCGCGGGCTCTGGGCCGTCGGGACCGGCGGAGCCCGTGCACAGTGGGCTGGGGGGGCTGGCCCGGCCCCACACTCTACCGACCCTTCCTCCGTCCTCAGGCCCGGCTCTGCCTCCAGCCCAGCATGAACGGCCTCGGCCTCCCGGGCGCCTCCGGGCTGGCCGCCAACCGCTCCCTGGCGGCGGACCCCTGCGGCCGGGAGACGCGGCTGGAGAATGTGCTCTTGGCCTCCTTCTACCTCCTGGACTTCCTCCTGGCGTTCGTGGGCAACGCCCTGGCCCTGTGGCTCTTCCTCCGGGACCGCCGGGCCGGCAGCCCGGCCGACGTGTTCCTGCTGCACCTGGCCCTGGCCGACCTGGCCGCCGTGCTGGCGCTGCCCGCGCGCCTGGTCTACCACTTCTCCGGGAGCCACTGGCCCTTCGGGGAGGTGCCCTGCCGCCTGGCCGGCTTCCTCTTCTACCTCAACATGTACGCCAGCATCTGCTTCCTCACCTGCATCAGCGCCGACCGCTTCCTGGCCATCGTGCACCCCGTCCGGTCCCTCAGGCTCCGCCGGCCGCGCTACGCGCACCTGGCCTGCGCCTTCCTCTGGGCCGTGGTGGCCGTGGCCATGGCCCCGCTGCTGCTGAGCCCGCAGACCGTGCGCACCGGCCGCTCGGTGGTCTGCCTGCAGCTGTACCGGGAGAAGGCCTCGCCCCGCGCGCTCGCCTCGCTGGCCGTGGCCTTCGCCTTCCCCTTCGTCACCACGGTGACCTGCTACCTGCTGATCCTGCGCAGCCTGCGGCGGGCGCCCCGCGTGGACACGCGCCTCCGGGGCCGGGCGGCGCGCACCATCGCGCTGGTGCTGGCCATCTTCCTGGTGTGCTTCCTGCCCTACCACGCGCACCGGGCCGTCTACGTGCTGCGCCAGCACCGCAGCCCCTCCTGCGCCGCCCGGCGCGCCCTGGCCCTGGGCAACAGGCTCACCTCCTGCCTCACCAGCCTCAACGGGGCCCTGGACCCCGTCGTGTACTTCTTCGTGGCCGAGAAGTTCCGCAGCACCCTCTGCAGCCTGCTCTGCGGCCCCCGGCTCTCGGGGCGGCCCCCTAGCCGGGGAGGGAGGACCACGGAGAGCTCGGTGAGCGCCAGGCCAGAGCTGGAGGCCAGGCCAGAGCTGTGAGCTTCCCGAGCCACACGCCCACCCCTCCAGGTCAGACCTCATCCCCAGTTCGTGGCTCTGCCTCCCCACGCACAAGCCCCTAAAAAGGGCGCACCGTCCGCAGGCTGCCCGCGGCCTGGGCCCCGCGCAGGGTCTCAGCGGTCACTGCAGCAGGAGGCCCCGGAGGGACCCAGGAGCCCCGCTTTCCTGGGTGCTGCCGGCGCTCCGGCTCCTCCCCCTCGGACACAGCGGCTCGGCAGGGAGGGCAGGGCGCGGGTGCGAGGGCGGAGGGGCCGCAGTACTTCCTGTGGTGCGCAGGGTGCGGGCGTTCCCTTGGCGCCTTTGCCAGGCGGCCCTTGGCGCCCTGGCCGCACACTACAAACCGAGGCGGAGCCGCCGGCACGTCCAGAGCACAGCCTGCCCACCCCCCACCCCCCCGCTGCCGGAGCCGCTCGGAGCGGGGCACTGCCCACCCCAGCTTCTCACAGCTGCCCACGGTCCCGGCCACGCAGACCAGCGGGCAGTGTGGTCAGGCCTGCGAAGGCCTCGGCAGGGAGCTGGCCTCCGCCATCGGCCTGCAGGCTCCTCCGCCGTCACTGCCACCGGCCAGGCGGGCGCAGCCCTGCCAGTCCTCGCGTCCCGCCATCGGCCTAGACACCGACTGTGCAAGGTCCGTGTGTGGGTTAAGCCCCCAGACATCTCCACCCCCAGGCCGGCCCTGGGCGAAGCAGGCAGCGGGGCGGCCCCCCCAGACCGAGCTCTGCGCGTCCTCAGAGTGCGCCGGCCGGGCCGTCCCAGCATCAGAGCATCTTCCTCCTCCTTCGGCCTTCTGAGGGAGCCGGGCGCCGGCCGCCCTGCGCTGTCTTGGGAGGGGGCAGGCAGGACGTGCTCAGGCACACACCCACAGGGCACACACCCACAGCGGGCACACCCGGCAGCGGGCACACACCCACAGCGTGCACACCCACAGCGGGCACACCCGGCAGCGGGCACACACCCACAGGGCACACACCCACAGGGCACACACCCACAGGGCACACACCCACAGCGGGCACACACCCACAGGGCACACACCCACAGCGGGCACACACCCACAGGGCGCACACCCACAGGGCGCACACCCACAGGGCGCACACCCACAGGGGGCACACCCGGCAGCGGGCACACACCCACAGGGTGCACACCCACAGCGGGCACACCCGGCAGCGGGCACACACCCACAGGGCGCACACCCACAGCGGGCACACCCGGCAGCGGGCACACACCCACAGGGCACACACCCACAGCGTGCACACACCCACAGCGGGCACACACCCACAGGGCACACACCCACAGGGCGCACACCCACAGGGGGCACACCCGGCAGCGGGCACACACCCACAGCGTGCACACACCCACAGCGGGCACACACCCACAGGGGGCACACACCCACAGCGGGCACACACCCACAGGGCGCACACCCACAGGGCACCCACCCACAGCGGGCACACACCCACAGGGCGCACACCCACAGGGCACACACCCACAGGGCGCACACCCACAGGGCACACACCCACAGGGCACCCACCCACAGCGGGCACACACCCACAGGGCGCACACCCACAGGGGGCACACACCCACAGCGGGCACACACCCACAGGGCACACACCCACAGCGGGCACACACCCACAGCGGGCACACACCCACAGCGGGCACACACCCACAGGGCACACACCCACAGGGCACACACCCACAGCGGGAACACACCCACAGGGGGCACACACCCACAGGGCACACACCCACAGCGGGCACACACCCACAGGGCACACACCCACAGGGGGCACACACCCACAGGGCACACACCCACAGCGGGCACACACCCACAGCGGGCACACACCCACAGCGGGCACACACCCACAGGGCACACACCCACAGCGGGCACACACCCACAGGGCACACACCCACAGCGGGCACACACCCACAGGGCACACACCCACAGCGGGCACACACCCACAGCGGGAACACACCCACAGGGCACACACCCACAGGGCACACACCCACAGGGCACACACCCACAGGGCACACACCCACAGGGCACACACCCACAGGGCACACACCCACAGCGGGCACACACCCACAGGGGGCACACACCCACAGCGGGCACACACCCACAGCGGGCACACACCCACAGCGGGAACACACCCACAGCGGGCACTCCCACAGCGGGCACACACCCACAGGGCACACACCCACAGCGGGCACACACCCACAGCGGGCACACACCCACAGGGCACACACCCACAGCGGGCACACACCCACAGCGGGCACTCCCACAGCGGGCACACACCCACAGGGCACACACCCACAGCGGGCACACACCCACAGGGCACACACCCACAGCGGGCACACACCCACAGGGCACACACCCACAGGGCACACACCCACAGCGGGCACACACCCACAGGGCACCCACCCACAGGGCACACACCCACAGCGGGCACACACCCACAGGGCACCCACCCACAGCGGGCACTCCCACAGCGGGAACACACCCACAGCGGGAACACACCCACAGCGGGAACACACCCACAGGGCACACACCCACAGGGCACACACCCACAGGGGGCACACACCCACAGGGCACACACCCACAGGGCACACACCCACAGCGGGCACACACCCACAGCGGGAACACACCCACAGCGGGCACTCCCACAGCGGGCACACACCCACAGGGCACACACCCACAGCGGGCACACACCCACAGGGCACACACCCACAGCGGGCACACACCCACAGCGGGAACACACCCACAGCGGGCACTCCCACAGCGGGCACACACCCACAGGGCACACACCCACAGGGGGCACACACCCACAGCGGGCACACACCCACAGCGGGCACACACCCACAGGGCACACACCCACAGGGGGCACACACCCACAGGGCACACACCCACAGGGCACACACCCACAGCGGGCACACACCCACAGGGCACACACCCACAGGGCACACACCCACAGGGCACACACCCACAGGGCACACACCCACAGCGGGCACACACCCACAGGGCACACACCCACAGCGGGCACACACCCACAGCGGGAACACACCCACAGCGGGCACTCCCACAGCGGGCACACACCCACAGGGCACACACCCACAGGGCACACACCCACAGCGGGCACCCACCCACAGGGCACACACCCACAGCGGGAACACACCCACAGCGGGCACACCCACAGCGGGCACACACCCACAGCGGGCACTCCCACAGGGCACACACCCACAGCGGGCACACACCCACAGTGGGCACACACCCACAGCGGGCACACACCCACAGCGGGCACTCCCACAGGGCACACACCCACAGCGGGCACACACCCACAGCGGGCACACACCCACAGCGGGCACTCCCACAGGGCACACACCCACAGCGGGCACACACCCACAGCGGGCACACACCCACAGCGGGCACTCCCACAGGGCACACACCCACAGCGGGCACACACCCACAGCGGGCACTCCCACAGGGCACACACCCACAGCGGGCACTCCCACAGGGCACACACCCACAGGGCACACACCCACAGCGGGCACTCCCACAGGGCACACACCCACAGGGGGCACACACCCACAGCGGGCACACACCCACAGCGGGAACACACCCACAGCGGGCACACACCCACAGGGCACACACCCACAGCGGGCACTCCCACAGGGCACACACCCACAGGGCACACACCCACAGGGCACACACCCACAGGGCACACACCCACAGGGCACACACCCACAGCGGGCACACACCCACAGGGCACACACCCACAGCGGGCACACACCCACAGGGCACACACCCACAGCGGGCACACACCCACAGCGGGAACACACCCACAGCGGGCACACACCCACAGGGCACACACCCACAGCGGGCACTCCCACAGGGCACTCCCACAGGGCACACACCCACAGCGGGAACACACCCACAGCGGGCACACACCCACAGGGCACACACCCACAGCGGGCACTCCCACAGGGCACACACCCACAGGGCACACACCCACAGGGCACACACCCACAGGGCACACACCCGGCAGGGGCCCGGCCTGGGTCACAAAGGAGCCCTGGCACTGCCTGCCCACAGCCTCACTGACCCAGGCGCCTGCCGAGCGCCTGAGCCCAGTGGACAGGCTGTGAGGGCAGCAGTGCCGCGCTCGCTAAGCAGGCAGAGGGCCAGGGGCTGGTCAGAGCGGTGGGAGCCGGCGGGACGGGGGCGGGGCTCCGCGCAGGCGGCTCTGCCTGAGGGCTCAGTGCGGGGGCGGGGCTGCACTGGGTGCCTGTGGACAGACCGAGCGGAGGCGCAGTGGCCAGGCGGCCACAGGAGGACGGCGGGAGGGCACACAGGCCTTTTGGGCAGACCGAGAGCCCAGTGCGGAGCCCCAGGCGCCAGCCGGAGAGGGGAGCCCCTGGAGGAGACCCCAGTGCATGGCCACAGAGAAGGCATTTTAGCAGGGAAGAGGCCTAGGCAAAGCCACAGAGGCCTGCAGCCTCCTCTAGTGTGGCCATGGGGCCATGGCCCCCAAGGAGGCTGAGGCCATGGAGCAGATGGGGAGGGCTACAGAGAGGGAGGGAGGGAGGGAGGGAGGGAGGGAGGGAGGGAGGGAGGGAGGGAGGGAGGGAGGAGAGCTACTGAAGCCTCCAGCCTTCTCAACAGGGCACAGGGTGAGCAGAGACATGGCCAGGCTGCAGGCCACAGATGCTGGGCAGCCAGGGTGCCCCAGGGCCTGGCCCCTCAGGGAGCGGGAGGGAGGCCCCCTGAGTGGGTGGGGGAGACAGTGGGAGGAGGGGGAAGTGGAGGGCCCCTCTCTGAGAGCCTGGAGTTAGGTGCAAGGAGGCCTGGCGGAGCCCAGGAGGCGTATGAATTTAAGAGTGACAGCCCGACCGACACCAGTTTGGCTCAATGGATAGCGCGTCGGCCTGCGGACTGAAGGGTCCCGGGTTCGATTCCGGTCAAGGGCATGTGCCTTGGTTGCGGGCACATCCCC